AGCACAGTTATGCCGTGAGCACTCGACATGGGTGCCAACTGAACGGGGCTCATTCTCCCCATGCCTCCTTCCGCGGCGTCTGTCATGAGGCAGCCACCACGACCTACATTGTACAGATGATGCTTGGCTAAACTTTAAACCCTAAACCCTAAACCCTAAACCCTATTCTTCATACAAATGTACTAGTCAAGTTGGGTTAATGTCTTCGGGACCCTCCTCGAAAAGGGGGGCCCCAGAACTGAGGTCTCCCCCTGAGCGGGGGCATCGGACTCAGAGCTCAGGCAAAACCCTGGGAGCTTTCGCCCCCGATAACGGTAGTCTAGGCTTCCTTCAAGGGCTGCTACACTACAAGGGTTCCTTTCAGGGTGACAGACAGGGTTCCTAGAAGGGTTCGAAAGCGTATAGAACAACTACCTGTCCCTAGGCGGCGAGCCCGAAAACCTAAAACTGACAGCGCCAAGCCTCGCAACCCTAAGCCCTAAACCCTAACTAAATCCTGAGCCTCTTAACCGTTTAAACTCTAAACCCTAGGCTGCAAACCCAAAGCCTTAAGCCTCGAAGAGCTCAGCTCTGAGCCCTGAGCTACGACGTGAGCCTCGATGGTTTCACCCCGAAGTCTGGACCTCGCCTAAGGCATGAAGACCAGGGAGAAACGGACATGAGGTTTGGGGTCCTGGGGGCTTAGCGGTTTGGGGATTCAGGTTTAAGGTTTAGGGGTTCAGGGTTTAGTTTAGGGGCATGGGGTTTAAGTTTCAGAAGTTGAGGGTTTTAGTTCAGGGGCATGGGGTTCAAGGTTTAGGGGTTGAGGGTTTAGTTGCAGGTATGAGGCTGCTGGGAGTGTAAGCCCAATCTACTAAACGAGAAGCCCGACTGAGGGCTCAAAAGCAACCGGCCCACGCCCCCAAAACCCCAAAGCACCCAAAGTCCAAGGCCTCATGCCGTTAGCTACGAATTTGTCAGAGCCCACACAGGAGATAAGAGCCCCTTCATCGGACTGTTGACAGGATTATCGGGCTTGTTTATGCCAAATGACGAAAATGACGAAAACCGTTCACGGCCCTACACCAACCGGAAAGCCCTCAAGGAAGCCCCCAAACCTCGCACAAAACGGCACGTTATCACCCAACAGCCACCTAGACCCCCAAAAGTAGGTAAGATCATGGCACAGAGCCTACCCAAGGCTAGTCTCCTACATACCCCTCACCCCCCAGGTAACTATAGGGTACTAGAGCCCGTTGGGCCCTAATATAGTAGGTACCTGGAGGGTTAGGGTACTGTTAGGGTCCAGGTACCGCTTCGAAGCAGCGCCGACGCTGATCCGACTAAGACCCATTTCGATCATCACCTTCGGACCCTAAAACGAGCCTCCGGGTCGATAAACCAGGAACCCAATTAGGGTTTAGGGTTTTAGGGTTTAGGGTTTAGGGTTTTAGGGTTTAGGGTTTAGGGTTTAGAGTTTAGGGTTTAGAGTTTAGGGTTTAGGGTTTAGGGTTTAGGGTTTAAAAATCAGCAGGAGAGCGGTGCCCCGCAGCTTTGCCTCAAAGCCTCAGAGAATCATCGGCGTTTGTGTGCCAATTCCAGTTTACTTCATGTCTGCCGCTGGCCCAGGTTGCGATGCGGCCTGTTTTTAACTTGACTTGGGGTTCCAGTCTTGACTCGCGCGCTGAAGTATTATCCCTACTACTTCTTATTAGGCTGAGTACTCGTACCATCACTACCAAAACCGCTACCACTACCACTATCCGTGCTACAACGACGCCGACTACTACGACTACAGCTGAGAATGCCTTCCTTCGTCACGTCGGCTTTACAGGGCCTTTGGTGCCCGGCCCTAAACCCCGAAAGGGGGCCATTGCACTTTAAAAAAAAGCCCTAAACCCTAAACCCTAAACCCCGAACCCTGAACCCTGAACCCTGAACCCTGAACCCCGAACCCTGAACCGAAGACGTTCTGACCCAGGACTCCTAATCCCAAAATCCAAAGCCCTAGACCCCAACTCGAATCGCTGCAGATCCCCGAGCCCTTGCCCCCCACAGCTGGCAGACTCCTGGAATCCCAAGTGCGTGTCGAAGGCGATCCTCGTTAACCTAACGCAGGCTAACCAGATACCCGTTACCATGCCAGGGGAGATCGCCAAAAAGTGCATGACAATGACGAGCTCGACGATCATGAGGACCATGAGGACGACGACCTGGAGGACCATGAGGACCAGGACCACCAGGACCACCGGGACCTACCCGACAACCACTGCGACCAAGACGACCACGAGAACAAGCAGATCAAGAGACCACCAGAAACCCTAAACCCCAGACCCTAAACCCAATCGCCAGGAGACCACCAGGAACCTGCCGAAACGCCTTCCCCCAAGTACTGGCGCGATTCGATTCACCGCGGCGCTGACTCCTTCACCGATTTCCTGGTGCCATGCAAAACAGGGGCCTTAGGCTTAGGGTTTAGGGTTTAGGGTTTAGGGTTTCGGGGTTAGGGACACTTGAAACCTTTTCTCCCAAGTAATGCTGCGATTCAAGGTCTTCTGGAGCCGAAGCGGCCATGCACCGTAACTTACAGTGAATCCAGGCCTCCGGCGACGGGCAGCAGCCGAATCCTCTATAAATGCTAGGATGCCAGCGAAAACTAGGCGCCGCACCACAGCGGGAAACGCTTGCTGCGCGATCCCCGTTTAAGAAATAGGACCGGATGCCGGGACCAAACAAACACCACATCCACGCGGCGCGGGGATGCTGTGTCAATTGCCTTTAACACTGAACTTAAGAACTCATCAGTGTTGGAACGCTTGTGGGAGATGAAGCCGCATTGAACCTGCGCTGAAGAGATTGTGGGGTCCCAGCTGTACCCCGGAAAAAAACCCTTCGAAACCAGGACGTGGAACCTGGATAGCAGGAAGGGAGTTTGCCCGAAACTTCCCCAAACCCCCAACCCTAAACCCTAGACTCTAGACCCCCTAAACCCTAGACCCCCTAAGCCCTAAGCCCCCTAAACCCCAAGCCCCCTGAACCCCAGACCCCCTAAACCCCCCTAAACCCTAAGCCCGAGCTGAGTCAAGGGAGCCCTTCTTAGGCTCCCGGCATGTCCCGGTCGAGGACATTTTCAGGTGGGTAGTTACCGTTCTGGGAGCCTTATAGAAGGTCGGTTTAGGGTTTAGGGTTTGGGGTCTAGGGTTTAGGGTTTGGGGTTATAGGAGCCTTATAGAAGGTCTATTTACTTTATGGAAGCCTTATAGAAGCCCTATGTACCCTAAACCCTAAACCCTAAACCCTAAACCCTAAACCCTAAACTCCTCACCTGTAGTTTCCTTCAAAACCCGGCGAGGTCCTATCGAGGCTGCTGCTTGTTGCCTCCCTGGCGCTCTCAGCCACGGGGAAGCGGGTTGGGTGCCCCAGCTGCTGCGGGGACTCTGGGGTGCCACAGTATAGTGTAATATAGCCCAGTATAGTATATATAGTATAGGATAGTTATATAGTGCAGTATAGTATAGTACAGTCTAGTATAGTATAGTATAATTAGTAGAGTATAGTCTATATACACTATATAGTATAGTATTGTGTCATAGGATCTAAACCCGTCAGGGCTCCGTGAGAAAGGGTCCGTACCGGACCGCAGGCCATTGCGGGATCTGCTAGAAGGGTTTAGGGTTTAGGGTTTAGGGTTTAGTAGTTCTCTAAGGTAGGGTCCCTTTTTAGGTCCCTAATATTAACGGACATCAGTCGGTCGTT